GGCCAGGCCTCTAACCACAGGGAGACCCAGAGACGAAATCACGAACCGGGTACGGAAAACATCTCATTCAATCGCAACACACAAAAAACTTCATGACTACTGTACACGTGACTATTGCCTCATAACTACAGCAATCATCGACGCGGCCCGGGAATGTTCGGGATACGCTAGAACCCAAACAAGGGGTGATACCACTGAGCCCTTACAGATACGACTTAAACAACCTCCCAGTATCATCTGCTTCAGGAACTAAGCAAACCGCTAACGAAAATGAACATCATATAATCTGTTGAAGCCGAGGAACTTGCACGTACTCAATCAGCACTTTTTGCCGGCTGTGGGTAAGGGGGAAGAACAGGTTTGAAGCGCAAATGCGTAAGTCCCATCGGTGTAGCCAGTTGGTTGAAGTTTCTGGTTCGTCTTCATTTCAGAATTCGTTGCGGCTTTAACGGGACTTCTTGCGGCCTCTCGCCACAAGCCACCTGACTCGACGAGCAGGCTAGTAGGGGTAAACAATGGCAAAAATATCTGCGAAGGCCATGCTTCCTCAAGCAGCCTCCGTGGTGCTCCGCATTCAGGAGCTGCTTTTACACACTGGGATTGACGATGGTTTCGTTGCATGACAGCTCGGGTTCCACATCCACGAAGACCGTTACCTTTATGAAACAAGCACGGACGTCAAACAACGAGCCAAGTCACCCAGTCTGGCCTGAACTCAGCTTTCAAAAGAACATCATTGAGCACTGCTCGCACGTGCAAAGACCGTGTTCTGCGCAGATGGCTTCCACCATCTACCACGACGCAGACATGCGAGGCTTGGCTTTAACTAGGAAAGCTCGGGCATTGGCTGCTCGCCTGAGTTTAATCACGCTGAAGTTCTGGCTGAAGAACCCTAAACCCTAAACCCTAAACCCTAAAGGGGTGTATGAACTCCGGACTCCGTCCGGTCAGCAGCGAAGGCCCGATGATCAAAGAGCCCGTGTCAACCCTTGTGGGTGCTGTGGGTTTAGGGTTTGGGGTTTAGGGATTGGAGTTTAGGGTTTATGGTTTAGGGTTTAGGGTTTAGATAATCGACCGACTGACTGTAAGGTCCGCCCACATGTTGACGGGAGCTCATAAACGCGCAGAGCAACATCTGTACATCCAAGCTCCGTATCCAGACACACTGGAGTCTGAATTGGCTAGCTGATCGAGCAGCAACCTTCATCAGAAGCAAGCGCATACTTTCTCAACCAGTCGTTGTCCTTGGGATGGCACATGACGGAACGTAGGCATGACCTACAGAAGATCGAAGAACAAGAAGAGCTCTTGCTTTGGGGCTCCATGGCAGACGCGGCCGTCGGTCGGCCAAAAGACTCCAGGCTCAAGAGCTCCTGTGCCAGGGTCTGCCCGTCTCCGAGATATCCTCGGCTGCTTGGCTTGGAGAGGCCGGGTCCCAAGCTTTGCTGCCTGTGGCCAGGTGGCTCCAGTACTCGTTGGACTGCAAGGTCAGGGGGACCTCTGCCAGAAGTTGGTCGTAGTGCCTCATCTCGTCATGTCAAGTTGGAAGACGTGTCATGTCGGAGCTGAGCCCAGCATGCGACGTTCGGCCCAGTTGCTGCTGGTTGGTCTGTGTAGACGGCCACAGACGCATACCTGGCCATGCAGGGAAGGAAGCAGAAGCTTGCATGCTGTCTCTATGTGATCTATACTTACGCTGATAAGCAAATAAATGAACAAATCAATGAATACACATGTGTGTATATATGAATACATATACATATGCATATATATATATATATGTATGTGTATATATATATATACATGAGTATGTATATAATCTATACGAAGTGGGTTATCTCACGTATGTTGGCGAGAATACACATCACCCGCTGTTCGGAGAAATTCACATCAGTGGCGAGAATAGACATCTGTAGATGCTCAACACCGCCGTGTGGACTATGTTTACAGGCTCCAAGTCGCGCAAGCTCTATTCTGAGGATATGTCGTGGACCCTGGTGTTTCAAGTACTTTTCACCTGGTCCGCGTATATCTTTGGGGCAACACCACATGGACGTCAGAGCGTTGGTTTTGGGAGCTACACCCGAGACACAGGTACGGAGCATTGATCTATATTGATCTAGAGGGTCTGCGCTCAATACTCGGGAGCTGGAGTTCTGATAGATTCTTGCCCGTAAGGGGCAACTCTCGTACGCAACACAACAGGAGCTAAAGAAGCAGCCGCTCGAGACACACAAGTGATCATCCATAACATCACAGCTGCAGATCGAAACCAGCCATTTCTCATGTAGACGCTCGAATCCATACGCAACAGCTCGAGACACACATCAGCGGCATCACAGCACATTAAGACGAGCCATTCCCGATGTAGACGCTCGATTCCACATGGAACAATCGGATCGTTCACGAATAGAAGTGACTGCAAACATATATGTATGAACAGATATATGTATCTGTATGTATTTTTGTATGTATGTATGTATGTATGTATGTATGTATGTATGTATGTATGTATGTATGTATTTTTCTGTTTCTTTACTTATCTATCTATTTAGCGTGCTGTAGCGACAGAGCCCCGACCAGCTAGAGGCTTTCGGAGGAGCCCCCCACCTGTGGCCATCTCGTAGAGAACCACCTGAGTCATTCAAACAGGGAATAATGAACAGGGACATAAACACTGGACAAGAAAAAGCAGCATCAAATGCAAGGCTTGAAACTGTCAGCGGCATCTTTCCTTCATCCGGGCAACCCCCGCACTCCACAGGTCACAAAGTTCGGAGTAACAACCTGGCTGTGTCGCAACGCAAGAAGGGAATGCGCAACGGAGGTTGACAACATGAAAGCTGGAGTAGTGCCCCCATGGCTACAAACACTTCACGGGAAGCATGGGGCAATTCGTGCAGGTTCACCGCGCCACCAATCGGCGCCCGATGCACCGGTGCAGCTGGGGAGCCTTTTACCACTTCCGGCGCCATATAGCCCGGTGAACCACAGCGCTGGGTCATCAACTCCCCCCTGGCATGGGTTACAGGCACTCGAGATACGCATGCTTGCATGGGTTTTTTGCCTGCCTCTGGAACGCTGTTGCCACATTGAAGTCTGCAAGCTTCAGCTGTGGACGGTAACTTGTCTTCAGCACGAGAAGGTTCTCGGGCCTACAGATGGAGCATGGCAGGGCGGAGGAAGAGAACGCATCCAAAGGAAGACATGTCCCGAATTGTGACACACAAGACATTAGCCGTTTACTGTCTGGAACTTTGTCACTCTTGAGCCTTTGGAACCCATCGCGACTGAGCAAACGAAATTCTGAACCCCGAATCTCGGAGAGCGAAGGTATGCTGTCCGTTCCCGCCGACCCAATGCTTTTGAGGTGCTTGACATCGCGGTGCACAAATCCCTGCTCGTGGAGGTATCGGGTGGCATCCAGAATTTGCCACAAGCAGCTTGCCACAAGATATCTTGACGGAGCCATGTAAACAGGCGTCTTGCTCACGCTCTCCTCGTACCGGTTGGCTATCCAGCTTTTCAAAGTTCCCCCGCTGCAGAGCTCTATGATCATGTACAGCACCCTGACTCCAAGGGCAGTGGCATCTCACCAAGAGAGGCAGCTCAGGGGCATACAATCTTGAGAGTCGTTCCCGCTCTAGCAAAAGCAAGATGCTCTTACTCGCTCCAGCAGGGCTTGGCTTGCCTTCCACTAATGCATTCCAGGCAACTGGTTGTGCTCTCGCGACTCGTGTAAGCCTGGATGGCAAATGCGAGGAAGCTTACTTTGATAGGCCTCTGAAGCTGCTCTGCGGGTGGCCAATTCACCCTAAACCCTAAACCCCTAAACCCTAAACGGTTTAGGGCTTAGGGTGTAGGGTTTAGGGAGCTCCTTCCGGAAATCCGACTCCGTGCGGCACTTGAACACTTCAAGAGAAGCCTTGGGCGGAACCTCCGGCAAGACTTTAGACCGAAAGACTCGCAGCTGACCGCGGAGGACCCGAATGATAGGAATCCCCGCCACTGGGAGCCCCAGCCCCCTGCAGATGGAAGCTCTCTGAAAGTCTCTGAATCTGACGCAGGCCTACGTCCTCCGAAGGTACATAGCCCATGCGCAAGATCCGTCGAAAGGCTTCAAACATGTTTCAGGCAAGGGTCGCACGATATTCCTGTGCCGCAGGCACGCCAGGAGCTGCATTTCAGTTTCACTTTCCTTGCCGGACTCCACGACCTTGACGGCAAACCTCCAACTCGGGGTGTGCACAAGGCATGGTCGGCTGCGAAGGCTTCGGATGATCTGGCCTCTTCCTGGTTCCTTTTCGGACGACCTCCTGAACTTTTGCAAACCTGCCCTGGCCCAGCATCTGTTTCACATCGTAGTCTTCCTCGAGGCATCTCCGAGAGAGAGGGACAGGGCTCTGCTACAGATTCGAAAAGCTGCTACGAACTACCCCACCCGCCTCGAACGGTGTTGGCAAAGTTCGCACGGTTGAAGACGGCGACGTGGTCGAAGCGACTTCGTCCGCATACCTCTGCAGGACCGAGTCCTTCTCGGCCGCGGAGGAGGCCGCGCTGCCTTGGCCTTGGTCGGCCTGGACCATGGCTGCTAAGCTTTGAGCTGGCGATTGCCTTGAGTCACATCACGTCGGGGAACGTCCTTCTTAACATGAGCATGCTTTCCCCAATGTCAGAAAGCCATCAGCTTGGCCGTGGATGAGCAGGAGGGGGCCACGCATGCTCTCAGACATCTCAAGACGCATCCTGGAGATTATTTTCAATCTGGCCTGGCCCAGGCAGAAGCACTCCGCCTTTCGAAAAGTTCGCATCGGAGTCGCGACGTTCAGGCTCAAAGACCGCGCGATCGAACCCTTAGGGTGAAAGACCGAGGCGGCCAGTGGCTTGACTTCAAGTTTCGCAGAAGTTGTACTTGGGCAGCTTCGCCGCCATGCAACCTGGTTAGCCGTGCGATTTCACGACTTGGGTCGCCTGCGACCAGCGTGGCTCAACTTTGGAGCTCAGGTCTCAGATGCTTGGCATGTCCTGACCGATGCAGCAAAGTTGAGGACATAGCAGTTCGTGTGGGGATCTCAAGCCCAGACATCCTAGCCACCAGAACTCCCAGCATCAGCTAATGACATCCAAAACAAAGACTGACAGTGGCATGAATAAGTATGTCTGTTTTGTTGCCATCCCGGATCGGGGTCCCTGTCTTCACCGCTGACGCGTGAGGGTGCTTGCGGCGCAGTATCTGCTCCTTCTTCCGAAAATAGGCTGCGATTTCCTGCAAATGGTCGGGAAGACTTGCTTCTGCTTTGACCGCATCTAGCCGTAACACGTTCGTTGTCATCTGGTCCGAGGGTTGAGCGGGATGCTTTCATTTTATGTTAGAGGATGGCAGCGGGCTTTGGAATGTAAAGTTGCCCTAAATGAACAACTCTCGACAGACAGAAATTAGATGACGGCAGCAGATGTGCAACAACAGATGTTAGCAATGCGTAGTTGCAGAACGATACAGGCAAACATGCTCATGCGTGCACGCGTGTTGATATGGGTGTGCATGCGCGCCACATATACATGCACATATACATATATCTATATATATATATAGACAAACAGACAGACAGACAGACAGACAGACACACAGACAGACAGACATACAGACGGACGGACGGATGGATAGATAGATAGATAGATAGGTTAGCTAGCTAGATAGATAGGAAGATAGGAAGATAGATGGATAGATAGATAGATAGGTAGATAGGAAGATAGATAGATAGATAGATAGATAGATAGATAGATAGATAGGTAGATAGATGTGCTCTACATCTACACCTCTCTCTATATATATATACATATACATATATATATATATATATATATATATATATA